TTCTTTCTATAGTGTACAGTGTGACTTTTGTAATCACAGCAATGTTTTACATACCTCAAAATGAAATGTAAAACCACCATACCTATATGCATGACAAGTAATTAATGTAACCATATTGAAGGATATGAAGAGAATAAATAATTGTAAGAATAACTTAAGCAAAAGTTATATGTTGATATACAGTAAGACCAAAGACAAAAACATTGCACCCAAATATTGTAATCTGGTTAGTAAATTTGTTTTTCACAAGGTATGGGTTGGTAGTTCTGAAACTAGTTTATGCGTGTTCTGGGAGTGAGCAAATAGGTAAATATAGTGTAGATGATCACAGCCAGGTTAATCACTGTCTGTGAAAGTAGTTGCAAACAGGAATGGGGGAAGGATGAAATGAAGTCTGCTATTGTGCTGGAAACTAAGGTATCAGTATAAACTTTTTAACACACACTCAAATGGAGATGTACAGAAAGAGACACAGGTGTGTGTGTATATATGAGTATATTACACACATATGCACACGTGTATATACATACATACATATCTTAGATTTATTTATTGTGACGTCCTAGAACAGTGGCAAAACAGTAGCAATAAACAGGCTCAGTAACTAGTTGTTGCCCTAAATATCATTCTTCCAATGAAATAAACCAGAACTCTTTGAAAAAATGCTGATGCCAGAGCAGGATATGCTTGTAATGTTTAGCAGTGCCAGAAAATAAAGAGCTACATTTTCAAAAAATGATTCTGGCATGTCTAAAGACAGAAACCAACTTGAAAAATCTCCCACGGGCCAAATCTAGGACAATTTTAACAATTAAAAACATTGTGGGGCGCCTGGGTGGCTCAGTTGTTAAGCATCTGCCTTCAGCTCAGGTCATGATCTCAGGGTCCTGGGATCAAGCCTCGCATCCGGCTCTCTGCTCGGCGGGAGGCCTGCTTCTCCCTCTCCCACTCCCCCTGCTTGTGTTCCCTCTCTCACTGTCTCTCTCTGTCAAATAAATAAATAAAATCTTAAAAAAAAAAACATTGAGTTGTTAACAGAATACAATAAATACATGATTCCATAGTAATATAAATAAACAGTTGAGCAAATTAATACCCTGGGTAGAAGACACTGCTTTTTCTTACAGTAGAATTCCAATAAAGACCAATAGAAATAGGAAAAGTAGAAAATCATCTTTGGCAATCACTACAATAATAACTTGCATAGACAAAAATCACAGTGGATGCTAATGTTGATGGGGCAGAGTATGATAAGATATAAGATATTTGCAGAGCCTTAAAGTTTTCTTCCCCAAAAATATAAGTATTTAGTAATTCTTATTACTAAATAAAAGATTACTACGAGTTACTAAATACTTAAAGTATTTAGTGGTAATCTTATCAAAAGGGTATAATTTGAATCCAATCCTGACAAAACATCAAAAAAATCTAAGTTAGAATAAATTCTACAAAATAATTGGGTAGTACTCTTAAAATATGCCAAAGTCATAGAAAACTGAGTTTTCCCATATAGAAGAAGATTGAAGGAACATGACAATAAATATGAGGTAGGATCCTGATTGGGTCTTAGACTAGAGAAAGGACATTAGTGGAATAATTAGTGAAATTTGAATAAGGTCTATAGATTAGTTAATAGTATTGTAGCAAAATTAATTTCCTCTTTTTGCTAACTGTACTATGACTATGTAAGATGTCAACATTTGAAGAATTTAGGTGAAGGGAATATAGGAAGTCTTTGTACTATTTTTATAAATTTTTGTAATCTGAAATTATTTTAATTTAATAAAGTTAAGAAAGAAAAATATTTAAAAATTATTGTATAGATCATAAAATAAAATTCGGGAGGAAAGAAATAGGGTAAAAGGAGTCAAATATTCCGGAATAGACATATTAGGCATTTTTTTCATTTATCTCATTATATTCTGATAAAATCCTTTGAAAAAGCTAGTATTATTCTAATCTTACAGGTGAGAATATTATCTATTAGCTTATATGTTTGTTGGATATAATCAAACTACAGTAAACAAAACAAATAGGGATTATCAAAATTTTCAGATAATAATTTGTCAGCCCAAATGTAGTAAGGCAGTTTGACCCTGTAGGAGCTTAAGAAAAAACTGAAGAGGTGCGCCTGGGTGGCTCAGTCATTAAGCATCTGCCTTTGGCTCAAGTCATGATCCCAGGGTCCTGGGATCGAGCCCCGCATTGGGCTTCCTGCTCTGCAGGAAGCCTGCTTCTCCCTCTCCTACTCCTCCTGCTTGTGTTCCTGCTCTTGCTACCTCTCTCTCTGTCAAATAAATAAATAAAATCTTAAAAAAAAAAAAAAAAAAGAAAAAACTGAAGAGCCATCAGTGTTCTCTGTATCTCATGTTTGATCCCATTTGTATACATTTAAATTTATGTTCCTCCACCTTTTTCATCTTACTTTTTCTACTTAGTCCACACTCTAAAATACTGAAGCTCCGACCTCCACATTTATAGACATTTATAGAGATTAGCTGAGCAAACACCAATTGCAATTTGAAGCTTCACAGTAGTACAAATACACTTGCTTTGGTTTTGGAACTGATAAGATATGGGTGCTATATCTGGCTTTTCTTATCTTATCTCTGGTTCTGATTATGTATCAGTCTTACATTCCCAGTTCAGACCAGCTCTCTGTAGTTTTGCACTTACATTGTGAATGCCTTTCTCTCTCACCCACAATATACACATACATACATATATACACACATAAATACATGTAAGCCTTCTTTACTCAATAGAGAAAATCAGCTTGTGCAGGCATCCATAGAGGTTTAATCAATTGTGACCTGGGAGACTGTACTTAGAAAGTGCAAATCATAGTGGCTGAAGGCCACATTTGTGGTTAAGCCTGGAGCATTTTCAAAGTAAAGGTGGAGGGAGGGACTGGTAAGAAAGTCAGAGGTTCAAAAATAGCCAGGCAAATGGTTTGAATTCCAGCTCCATTAATTATGGGCAAATGACCTAGTGAGAGTTGTTTAAGCCCACAGTAACTGTTTTCTTATTTGTTTAAAAAATATATAGAGATTTATTTTTAGGACTAATGCATGATACATCTAAAATCACTTATAAAAAGTTCCTGCATGTAAAGCACTGGCAAATATTAGTTATCTATTCTTGGTCAAAGTACAAGACATGATAAAACAAGTAATGCAAGCAATACCAGTGAGAATGTAAGTTTGAATACAAAAAAATAAAACTCTATTTGATTAAGGGAGGAAAGGGAAATAGAATGTGGTAAAAAATACAGGAATGGAAGATTACAAAGATTCTGGAAAATGTCATAGATAAAGAAGCCCTCTCATGCTACCTTTAGCTTCAAATATCACTTTGGATATAAAATACATGAACAAGCCTGAGTAAAAATGCTGTTCCAGTGTAATCTATATAAAGAGTCTATATATTTGCAGAGAATTATTGTTTGCAAAAGTAAAGTGTCAGCTTCAGCCTTTTGGAAGAAGAGACCTATTTGTTTATTTTTTATTGGTATTGTAGCTACTAGATCATTATGTTGTTTGTCTTATCTGCAATGTCCTTTCTGGCCTTGCATTTCAGGCAAATGTAAATCAAAAGCCTTCAGAGTTATGGATTCTGATGATTCACAAGGTAATCTTGCAAAAACAGCAGGGAAATATATGATTTGCAAATTGCTTAACTGACATCTCTGCTATTATCCTAAAATATTGTTGCAGTAGAAACTCATTTTGTAATATTTCGGCTTGATTATATTTTAAAACTTTACCTTTCTCAAAATAAATATATTGCCTCCCATTTGCATACTTTTATTCTGTTAAATTATATGTGTATTGAAGAGCAGGATGCTTTATTTCAGGATGACCAAAAGTTCTCCTTTCCATGTGAGTCATTCTTAAGTTTGTTAAACTTTTCCTACTGAATTCTTTATAAAATTTCTTTACAATGGACTTTCTTACAATTACAAATTATGATTAAATTTGCTTATAAAATTAACATTACAACATTCTTAAAGATTTTCAATTTTGCATTATGCTTATTTCATGAAAAAAATGCCTATTGAATGTAGAATTCTTTGGTGCTTTCAAATGATGATAATATCTTTACCAAGTACATTTTTCATCAACCTAATATGCTTTCCAACAATAAGCATTAGAATGTACTTACCAATATTACACAAGGCTCTTTTCACTCAAGTACCTCATGCTGCAAAAATGTAACTGTAGGGCTCCATTCTCACAGATTTTATTAATTAAACCTAGAATTCATAGTGACTTTGCAATTGTGACTTCAATGCACACATATACCTGCTTAAATACACATTTAAAGAATAAAATTGAAATTATTTTCATATATTAGAAAATATTCTAGCCATCCATATCTTGTCAAGTAAGTATTACGAGGTTTAATTGGATAGATATTCAAAGCAGAGTAGTAGACTAGGAGATGGTTCAACGTCAAATCACTTAATCTTTTATAGATAAAGAAAGGGAACTGATGGCAAGCATCTCTAAGAATGCTGCTAGTTTTAACCGTTATGGATGATATTTTAAACTTCAATTATAGAAGAATAAGCAAGATTTATTTTTATTATATATGTAATTATAGTGAGAATTTTGAATCTTTATTTAGTTATATATTTTAAGTCCTATAGAATCAAAATGAAATAAGGGAAGATAAGAATGTAAGTGGTAAGAAATGTCTCCTTGATGTAGAGAAATATTTTTCATTGAGGAAAGAAATTTGTTTAAAAGACAAAATTCTCCTTTTCTGCAGACATTCCCCCAATTTAATTTAGATTATGTCAGTGCAACTACAGAAGACCACTTTGATTCACTCATCATTAAAATTGACATCAATATGAAGAAGTATTGGACAATGACAGGAGACAAAGGACTTGAAGGATATATTCAGAATAACCCTGCGCTATATGCCTTAACATCAGTCTAAGACTTTTACGCGGAGGGAGTAGAGACCAGAGGCCGAACTCGGGATCTGACAAGATGGCCCGGCTGCCCCGCAGGATTATCAAGGAAACCCAGCGTTTGCTGGCAGAACCAGTTCCTGGCATTAAAGCAGAACCAGATGAGAGCAACGCCCGTTATTTTCATGTGGTCATTGCTGGCCCCCAGGATTCCCCCTTTGAGGGAGGGACTTTTAAGCTTGAATTATTCCTACCAGAAGAATACCCGATGGCAGCCCCTAAAGTATGTTTCATGACCAAAATTTATCATCCTAATGTAGACAAGTTGGGAAGAATATGTTTAGATATTTTGAAAGGTAAGTGGTCCCCAGCACTGCAGATCCGCACACTTCTGCTATCGATCCAGGCTTTGTTAAGTGCTCCCAATCCAGATGATCCATTAGCAAATGATGTAGCGGAGCAGTGGAAGACCAACGAAGCCCAAGCCATAAAAACAGCTAGAGCATGGACTAGGCTATATGCCATGAATAATATTTAAAATCGATCTGATCATCAAGTTCTCCTGTTCTCCTGTTCTGCCAAGACTTCTTCTTTTTTGTTTGCATTTAATGGACACAGTCTTAGAAACATTACAGAATAAAAGCCCAGACATCTTCAGTCCTTTGGTGATGAAATGCACATTAGCAAACCTATGTCTTGTCCTGATTCACTGTTGTAAAGCATGAGCAGAGGCTAGAAGTACCATCCGGATTGTTGTGAAATGTTTAAAAGCAGTGGCCCTTCTCTGCTTTTATTCATTTCCCCATCATGGTTTGAGTATAAAGCACTGTGAAAGAAGGTAGTTGTCAGGGTTAGCTGCAGGGGTGTGGGTGTTTTTCTTTATTACTTTTTTTGAGGGGGAGAGATAGTTTTATTTTAATTTTATGGGCTCCTTTCCCCCTTTTTATGGTGATCTAATTGCATTGGTTAAAAGCAGCTAACCAGTTCTTTAGAATATGCTCTCTAGCCAAGTCTAACTTTATTTAGACGCTGTAGATGGACAAACTTGACTGTTTGAACCAAAATGGGAACATTAAACAAACATCACAGCCCTCACTAATACATTGTGACTTGCTGTCAAGTGTAGAATCCTTCCTTCAAGAAAAAGCTTGTGACCATTTTGTATGGCTTGTCTGGAAACTTATGTAAATCTTATGTTTTAGTAAAATATTTTTTGTTATTCTAAAAAAAAAGAGTTTTACTGGGAAATACATGAAAAGGGAAACTATGTTAGAAAACATCTAGCAATGGTGACAGAAAAGTTTTCTTGATCACCCGACATACGAAGTCATTTACCAACATGAAGCAAAGCAGAGATAATTCTCTGGAAGAGAGTGAGGGGGGAGGGGGAGGCTGGGAGGGGGGAGAGATGTGCTAAGGGTATTCAATCTCTGGCTAGTCTTTCAACTATAATGTGTCATGTTGATCACATGTTGATCACATATTGAAAGATAACTATCAATTTATTTTTATCAATACCTTTTGGAGGGTATTATCTTAAAAAGAATATCTGCATAGAAAAGATTCTATCAAAATTTGATATGTTTAACAATATATCTCCATATTTATAGTGTTTTAAATTTTAAGATGCATTCCCCCTCTCTGCTTGGGTTTTATTATTCATTAATATTTATTTTTTATGTAATATGTAAGTTAATTTCTCTGTTCTATTTTTCTTAAAATTTCCAGTCCTTATCAATACAGCATATCAAACTGAAAATTGATTCTAAAGAAGCTAAAACAAATGTAATTCATATATTTACCTCAGGGAAGAGCTTTTGAACATAGAAAATTTGAAGACCTTTTTTATTTTTCAAATATTGATTATATATCACATGCAATTTTTATATATTTGCTCTCCGGCATCCATAAATTATGTGTAGTTTTTATAAATGACATATGTAAAAACAAGGGGAAAATGACTATAGTATGACATTTTCAGGTGAATGAAATTACTTTTTATCTCAATCATATAGAGAAAATAGTGCTATTCATGATGCTAATTAACACGTAAGATCCTTAATTACAAAGGTAAATATAATGAAATTGATATCAAAATTAGACACAGATATTTACAATATTTAATTAAGGTCTGAAATCAAGGAACCTAAGTTTTATTTCCTTAAGCAGTGTGCAATCATGACTGCGATTTGACCTACAGATATTCAAAATATATGTTTTCAGAATTAAGAGGACTCTAAGTTGCTTACAAAATACATACAAGTATGAGAAGTGAGTTACAAGAAATGGGCTTTCTGTAGTTCCTCAATTCTTTCTGAAGCTTTCTGAGGATAATGGCATAGACAGAAATAAAGCTTCATTTCTCCATGTACAAAGTCAAAAAAGGGGGGCACAATTTTAAAAGGAAAAGATATTTAATTACAGAAAAATAATATGTTGTGCACTTTGTTGATCCGGAAGCAAAGAGGACTCTGAAGGGAGAAGGGAAAGGAGAGAAAAATAGGGGAGAACATGGAAGTTAGTTCTCTCTGAAAAAGAAACTTCTTCCCAGTTTTTAGATGATTCTTACTCTTTAAACCTTGCCTTTTGCTATTTTTATGTAGCAATTGTAAATTTGTCATAGTGAAATGTCTTGAAATATTAATAGCTCCATGGCACCATTCATCAATTTTCTTAGTTGGGGCCTTATGGAAAATCTAAATGGAATATATTGAAGAAGCAGAATATAAAAACTATGGAAAAGAAGACTAAAGAGAAAAACATCAGGTTCACTGAAGATAGGCAAGACCTAGTGAATAAAAACAGTGGAACATGTGGACAAGAAATCAAATTTATGTTCACGTAGAATATTGGATTGCAGCATTTTATATTAACAAATGTGAGCGATCCGGATAGGAGTTGATTTCCTCTACGCACACCCAATGTAAACAACAACAACAACAACATCTCAGCAGATATAAAAGAATGCATATTTTAAAGCCAGTTCTGGGTTATTGAAATAAATGCCTGGTGTTTTGTTAGGAATTTTATTAATTAGCATTTTAAATAATACCTAATGCATCTCTGAGATAATTGAATGAAATATGAACTAAAAAAAATAATCTGCCCTCTTCTACTATTGAATGTTAGAGTACAGCTTCAATAAACACCCTGCTTTGTGAGAAATTCCGTGTGACTGCTATCTTCCTTCATCATATTTGAAGAGGTGTTTAGGTGTGTTCTTCTTAGAAGATACATGGTTTTCAAAGTCTTCTCTTAGCCTTCAGAATGTTTTAAGGCTTGCTGAATAATCTCAGGCTTTTTAGTCTGGGCTTGTGATTTCTCTGCAATCAATTTTTATCAAAAATTCTCTTTGCTTCTGTTTGTTTCACTTCCCTGTGACATCAACTCCATCTACCATTCTTTGCTAGGTGGTTTTCAAAATTACATTATTTATTTGGCTTCTGGCTCCCTTGTATCTCTTTCCATTTAATGACTATATGGAAGAATATTTAACGACTGAGGCCAGAAGGAACAATAAATGTCAAGGTCCTATCTTTGATCTGTTCTTTGCCAGAAAGCTAACACACTTTGATCAGCTGAAAAATTTCACCAGGTCTATGTGGCTAAAAGCCTTTTGCTATCTTATCTCTCCCAGGGATCTGGAAACATTTGGTTTAACCAATATTTGGACACTGCAAAATCCTAGACCTGTTTTTGTGCTTCATTTCTACTTGCAGAACTGGCTAACTCATTCTGGACCTTATCTCTTTCTGGTTTTACCTTGTCAGATACAATCAATAAAAACAGCACACATTACTAAAATTTTGTCTTCCAAATTGTTCCCTTAGAAATACAAGTTAGTAGTCATGTAATCTAACTAACTTTCAATTTACCATGGGTGATTTTTTTTCCAGAATCTTTGGCAATGTATAGATAGATTTTGAACACTGCAGCCTGATTTATCTTTTATATGCACTTCCTTCTACAAGATGTCAATGTTATAAGTTTTGGACTTATGCTTTGTCAGTATAAGCTAACTGCTCTAATGAATAATTCCAAAATCTCACTGGATTTCTTACTCATGTTATAGCCCAAAGCTGCTCAGTTTCTCTTTTCCAAGGGGTGGTTAAGGAACTAAGGATCATTTCATAGCATGGCTCCATCATATTAAACATTTGGATTAAAGGAAGCAGTAAAGTATTTTAGTCAACTGACAGGGAATATGGGAGAAAGAGAAGAGAAAGATATGAGAGACAGAGAGAAGACCTGGAAGGGACACATTACTTTACCACTTTAGCTCATATTTAAGGTTAAAAATTAATTTTATGCATAAACATTTTTTTCCAAAGAAGACATAGTGATGGTCAACAGACGCATGGAAAGATACTCAGCTTCATTCATCATCAGGAAATTGCAAACCAAAACCACAATGGAATATCACCTTATACCTATTTGAATGGCTTAAATCAAAAAGACTAGAAATAACAAGTGTTGGCAAAGACGTGGAGAAAAAGGAACCCTCATATATTGTGGGCAGGAATGTAAATTGGTACAGCCATTGGGGAAAACAGTATGTAGGTTTCTTAAAAATTAAAAATAGAAATACCATATGATCCAGTAATTCCACCACTGGATATTTACCCAAAGAAAATGAAAACACTAATCCAAAGATATACGCATCCTTATGTTTATTGCAGCATTGTTAATAATAGCTAAGATATGGAAGCAAACTGTGTTTATCAATAGACGAATGAATAAGGTAGATGTGATATATATAATGGAATATCACGCAGTCATGAAAAAGGATGAGATTGTGCCATTTGTGACAACATGGATGATACCAGAGGGTGTTATACTGAGTGAAATAAATCAGACTGAGATAGACAAATACCATATGACCACTTATATGTGGAATCTTAAAAAAAATAAACAAAAAGCAGAATCAAACATGTAAATATGAAAAACAAACTGATGGTTGCCAGAAGGGAGGATGTGGGGGCATGGGAAAAATGGGTGAAGGGTAGTGGGAGATACAGGCTTCCAGTTATGAAATGACCAAGTCACTGGAATAAAAGATGCAGCATAAGGAATATAGCCAATAATATTATAATAATATTGTATGGTGACAGAAGGTAGCTACACTTGTGGTGAGCATAGCATAATGTATAAACTTGTCAAATTACTATTCTGTACACCTGAATCTAATGTAACATTGTGTGCCAACTATACTCAAGTAAAATTTTGTTTAATTTTCTGACCCCAGCAAGAAACAAACAGAACCTGGAAATGCAGTTTAGTTATTTGCCTTGGAAAGAGAAATGGTTTGATGAGTACATACCATATCTGCATATCTGTGTTTTGTTTACCAATTATTCATTTCTTGCTTGGCCTCACACATAGAATACATTTACTTTACCATGTCAGACTAAGGTAAAAATCCCATTTGAGTCACTCTGTCCCACCTACATATAGAATATTCGAGTGTTCTGGAATTCTTATCACATGGTATCTGGTTCAGATGTGATTCCTCTGGGTCCTATAACCTATAAATAAAAGAGAAAGAGTATTTTCCCCCACCCATTCTTACATATGTACATATACACATATATGATTTAATTTTTTAAAAACTCATTTATAAGAGGGGCATGTGGGTGTCTCAATTGGTTAAGCATGATCATGGCTCAGGTCATGATCACAGGGCCATGAGGTGAACCTCATGAAGCCTGCATCAGGCTTGCTCAGCACGGAGTCTGCTTGAGATTTTCTCTCTCTCTCTCTCTCTGCCCCTCTCCCCCACTCATGCACATGCACTCTCTCTAAATAAATTAACAAATAAAATCTTTAAAAACAAACAAAATCATTTTATAAGAGAAAAGACTGTCAGAAGAGAATGAAATTATTCAG